AACTACAGAGAAGCCGGCAGCGAAACAAGCGGAGTGGTAGTTACAGTAGTTAGACAATGCGGCAGCTACTTAACACTCTCGAGCAATGAACACTTAATAAGATGTAAATGTTACATCCTACCTAATAATATAACTAAGTCAAAAAATAATATAAAGCAATATATTTACGATTTAGCTAATATCCCAGATATCAGCAATATAAAATTATATGAACAGGTAATATACATTATATACATTGTGACCCATTCAGGGGTCGCAATAGTTATGGAGACAGACTTTAACACTGGATTCAGAGGAAAAAAAGGCGAGGTGAAGAGGTTTAAGGCATCGTCACAAGTGGGCGGGACCAACTAGTGAAAATGGGTCATTCTCATAAAGTGGGACATATTTTAGTAATGAGGTTGTAGAAAATATCATGTATCAAAAACCCATGATGCATCTAATGCATAGGTTTGAGACAGACAATTTTATCTGGAGCAGGTGGAAGAAATGGTGAGGTGTAACAGTTGAGGACAGTTTAAAAAGTGGGAAGAACCCATAAGTGGAAATTGGGAAGAGATTATGCCCTTAAACTGGGTCAGATGTTGCATCGAAGTTATAAAAGATATCCTCTATACCGAGATTGCATGCTGTTGCTGTGTCAGACTAGCATCATCAGCTCAAAGCTGTATAATACCAGCAAACTGATGAATAAGACACGTATATAACACGTGGGTGTCTTTACTGAAGATATGTTTTCCCCGCCAAGGGCTTTATCAGTCCCAGAGTAAATTCAAGTTGGGTCAGGCGATGTATGGTAGTCATTATGCTGCAATCCACCAGTACACTAACATCAAGTTTGTTCTTAGTCCCTAAATACAATTAAACTCTCAAGGTATATACACTGAGATACACATATCTCGGTGCACATGCACTACTGTATAATGTCGGGATAAATTATGAAGATTTAACCTATCGTAACTCAAGAAAGTCATGCATACAGTACTGTGTTGTATAAAGCAATATTCCCTCACCAAAGGGCTGTATGAATCATACAAATTTACCGCTTCCCCATAAATATAATTATAACCACTTAATAATAATAATAATAATAATAATAATAATAATAATAATAATAATAATAATAATAATATATCCCTTCAAGAAAAGTTTCTTGAAGCCAATGAAGAGTTCTTGATCCAAGGAACGGGAGCTACCCTCCCTTTTCTTGGGTCGACTCTGATTAGGAGAGGCGCTGTCTGACCCCTTTGGGTTTAGTGCCTCTCCGTGAAGTATAAGAAAAAAATTGGGTCAAAATAGAGTTTAGGACCTGACCAGAACTTACATTATATTATTATGTAAAAAAAAAAACCTGCTATGTACACCATGGCAACATATTTTATTTTTTATGCAAATTTTATTTTGGGATATATTAGCAAAAATAACAGTTATTTAAGTACGAGCGGCACGTCAGAGTCAATCGTATAACACGTCTAGCCAATCAGAGCGACGTAAACAAAAACGCACCATTCCCATATCTACCGCTGGCGGAGGTCTGGTCTGGGAGCGGGACGCAGGGGCGTTAACCCCCGAAAACATCCTTCAGGTACCTTTCGTTGGCTTTCCTTATATTAGGTTTCTTTTCATGCCATTTCAGCAGAATAAATCCACCCAACTCACATAATCCACCTTATTTTGGACATTTAGGTAAGTTTATTTGGGTACTGTTACACATACCTGGAGAGGGTTTCGGGGGTCAACGCCCCCGCGGCTCGGCCTGAGACCAGGCCTCGTGGTGAATCAGGGTCTGATCAACCAGGCTGTTACTGTTGGCCGCACGCAAACTGACGTACGAACCACAGCCCGGTTGATCAGGTACTGACTTTAGGTGCCTGTTCAGTGCCTCCCTGAAGACAGCCAGGGGTCTATTAGTAATCTCCCTTATGTATGCTGGGAAGCAGTTGAACAATCTTGGGCCCCTGACACTTATTGTGTTGTCTCTCAGTGCACTCGTGGCGCCCCTGCTTTGCACTGGGGGAATATTGTATCTCCTGCAGAGTCTTTTGCTTTCATAGGGAGTAATTTTCGTGTGCAAGGTTGGTACTAATCCATCTAGAATTTTCCAAGTGTATATTATCATATATCTTTCTCGCTTGCGTTCCAGGGAATACAAATCAAGGGCCTTAAACCGTTCCCAGTAATTTAGGTGCCTTATCGCAGTTATGTGTGCCTTGAAAGTTCTATGTACACTCTCCAGGTCAGCAATTTCGCCTGCCTTCAAGGGGGCAGTTAGTGTACAGCAGTATTCCAGCCTAGAGAGAACAAGGGATTTGAAGAGAATCATCATGGGCTTGGCGTCCCTAGCTCGAAGGTTCTCATTATCCATCCTGTCATTTTTCTAGCAGATGAGGTAGATACATTGTTGTGGTCTTTGAAGGTGAGATCAGCACAGTTAAGCAGATTTAGGTCACTGCAATTACCATACACGGTAAGATATGTGTAAATTGCCTAGGGTAACCTAAAAAAGTCAGACAAAGTGACTTATTTACATTAAGTTTATCTTATTGTTGTTAAAAACCTTCAGAAATTAAAACCGCTCAGTAACTCAACTGTGTGAAAATCACTTACAATAAATTTATTACAATATATGAATTATTAGTCAACTCATACCAGGACATGACCTCGTACCAGGGCATGACCTCGTACCAGGACATGACCTCACACCAGGGCATGACCTCGTACCAGGGCATGACCTCACACCAGGGCATGACCTCGTACCAGGGCATGACCTCACACCAGGGCATGACCTCCCAGGGGAACAGACCTCACACCAGGGCATGACCTCGTTACCAGGACATGACCTCCACCCAGGGCATGACCTCATCAGGGCATTGACCTCACACCAGGGCATGACCTCACCAGGCATGACCTCACACCAGGCATGACCTCTACCAGGACATGACCTCCACCAGGGCAATGACCTCGTACCAGGACAGACCTCACACGGGGCAGACCTCCGTACCAGGGAATGACCTTCACACCAGGCATACTCTCTAAAAGGACATGACCTCACACCAGGGCATGACCCGTACCAGGAATGACCCACACCAGGGCATGACTTGAAAACCAGGCATACCTAACAAAGGCAGACCTCGTACCAGGCTTTACCTCACCCAGGCATGGCCTCAACCAGGACATGACCTCACACCAGGGCATACCTCTACCAGGCATGACCTCACACCGGGGCATGACCTCTTACCAGGGCATGACCCCCACACCGGCAGACCTCGAACAGGGCATGACCCCCACCGTCATGGCCTCACACCAGGGCATGACCCACCCGGCATGACCAAACCAGGCATGACCTCACACCAGGGCATGACCTCGTACCCAGACATGACCTCACACCAGGCAAATTTGGGACCACCCCCCTCGTACCAGGCATGACCTCCACCAGGACATGACCTCACACCAGGCAGGGCCTCCACACCAGGGCATAAACCTCTAACCAGGCATGACCCCCACCAGGGCATATCCCATCAAAACCAGGCATGACCCACCAGGACATGACCTCACACCAGGCATGACCTCGTACCAGGGCATGACCTACAAAACCGGGGCATGACCTCACACCAGGCATGCCCTCGTACCAGGGCATGACCTCACACCGGGGCATGACCCTGTACCAGGCATGACCTCACACCAGGGCATGCCTCGACCAGGCATGACCTCACACCAGGGCAGCCCCCCCAGGGCAGCCTCGTACCGGGGCAGGGACCTCCACACCTGGTTTTACCTAAACCGGGGCAACCTCCCCCGGCGGCCCTCACCCAGGGCATGACCTCCCACCAGGACATGACTCTCACACCAGGCAGGGCCCTCACACCAGGCTTTGACCTCACACCAGGCTAAACCCTCTACAGGACATGACCTCACACCAGGACATGACCTCACACCAGGACATGACCTCACACCAGGACATGACCTCGTACCAGGGCATGACCTCACACCAGGGCATGACCTCACACCAGGGCATGACATCGTACCAGGGCATGACCTTACACCAGGGCATGACCTCACACCAGGGCATGACCTCGTACTAGGACATGACCTCACACCAGGGCATGGCCTCACACCAGGACATGACCTCACACCAGGGCATGACCTCATACCAGATCATGACCTCACACCAGGACATGACCTCACACCAGGACATGACCTCGTACCAGGGCATGACCTCACACCCGGGCATGACCTCACACCCAGGGAAATGACCTCGTACCCAGGACATGCCCCTCACACCAGGCATGGCCTCACACCAGGACATGACCTCACACCAGGGCATGGCCTCACACCAGGACATGACCTCATACCAGGACATGACCTCACACCAGGGCATGACCTCGTACCAGGGCATGACCTTACACCAGGGCATGACCTCACACCAGGGCATGACCTCGTACCAGGACATGACCTCACACCAGGGCATGGCCTCACACCAGGACATGACCTCACACCAGGGCATGACCTCATACCAGATCATGACCTCACACCAGGACATGACCTCACACCAGGACATGACCTCGTACCAGGACATGACCTCACACCAGGACATGACCTCACACAAGGGCAGGACCTCGTACCAGGACATGACCTCACACCAGGGCATGGCCTCACACCGGGACATGACCTCATACCAGGGCATGACCTCACACCAGGGCCTGACCTCATACCAGATCATGACCTCATTACCGACCAAAAGTTTTAAAAGTTTCAAATTAGTTATAAGGCGTAAATAAAGACTAACTTATTTAATATATTATTAATGGTCTTCTTGACAAACTACGCTTATTGAAGCTCATTTTTGTTCGTGTCAGTGGCTCTGGCTTCTAATCAAATTACTGCAATCATTACAAAATATCTTATTATAAACTTCACGTCAGAAATTACACCGATGTTATATGATGCGGGAAAAATCTAACTTATCTTGCTACTTTCGACAGAAAGCGTTGGTTTGAGGCTGTTAATAGAAGATAATGGACGGGAAGGAACAAGTGTGGTCCAGCTGTTTACAAGCAGAGTGAACACAGAAGTACACACAGTACCATGAGCAAGCTCTCCTACCACGACGACCTAGAGTTTCCCTTCTGTGACGATGTTATTAAATACGAGAAACTGGCTAAAATCGGGCAGGGGACTTTTGGGTATGTATAGAGTGGGTTGAGTGTGTGTGTTGGAAGGTGAGTGTATCTATGCGCACTTCCCTCGTGACCATATTACTCATGTCTCGCCTGCAAATGCTTCATTAAAGATTATTCCATACTTGTCAGTTAGAAGATGAGGTTATTAAGAGGTGCCTGGGGTGTCGAGGAAAATTCCATAGGGAATTGTGATTGAGCTACACCCTGGTGCCATGTTCTAAGTTAAGTATGAAGTGTAATAAAATTAGCAAAAACAAGTACAATATTTTCTTATTTTGACTCGTAATTGTACGACTTAATTAGCTCCAAGACATACTTCATTGTGTTGTTATTGAATGATCCAGCACAAGTTCTGAAAATAATAAATATTTGTATATAAATAACCCGCACATAAGAGACTGAAACTTATGACGACGTTTCGGTCCTGCTATTTAATGACCTAAATGGGACCAAAACATCGTCTTAAGTGCATTTTCTATGTATGGGTTATTTGTGTATTGTTCCAGTCATGGTATTGTGCCTTTTTATTCTTTATTTTCACAGTACATTGAATTATTAGTTTTAAGAAGCTATTTATCATAATACAAATGAAATCTGTTGCTCTACTTTATAATGAGTGGATTTTAACCATTACTCATAGCGGTAGTTTGAATTGTGCAACATTGTTTTTACACTGGATACATTTTGTTGTACAAATGATAAAAAATGTAACCTAAAAAATCTCACTTAACACAATTTTGGCCCAGATGTACTGCACAACCTAAATTAACAAGTTATTTTGGCTAATATTTTCCAAATTAACAATCTGCACAAGAAATAATCATGAGAATCATAGCTCTGCTGAGTAGTAGTCAGTAACTACAATATAACCAAAATTTGACCCCTTCCATTTTATTTTCCATTAACTATTACTATAAAGTGATGGATCAAGTTTTGTGTCTGCTGTGACTGACAGTTCAAAGCCTCCTCATTCACTGTTTGACCTCTATGGATTTAGCACACTAACTCCTGATAATAATAATATCCCCTTAAAGGAGGATATTATTATAAGACACAACATTTCCACTGTCTCCAACCTCCTCTTTGCTGCAACATTCACAACCCATGCTTCACACCCATATAAGAGCATTGTACCACTGTACTCAAATACATTTCCCATTTTGCTTCCATGGATAACATTCTTTGTGAACATTAAAATGGTATAAAATACCGACAGGTTGTTAGGTAAGACACATATGCAACAGTTAGGTATCTTTATTATGAAACGTTTCGCCTACACAGTAGGCTTCTTCAGACAAGTACAGAAAAGTTGATAGAAGCAGAAGATACTTGAAGACGATGTAATCAGTCCATCACCCTTAAAGTTTTGAGGTGGTCAGTCCCTCAGTCTGGAGAAGAGCATGTTTCATACAATGGAACAATGCTCTTCTCCAGACTGAGGGACTGACCACCTCAAAACTTTAAGGGTGATGGACTGATTACATCGTCTTCAAGTATCTTCTGCTTCTATCAACTTTTCTGTACTTGTCTGAAGAAGCCTACTGTGTAGGCAAAACGTTTCATAAAAGATACCTAACTGTTGCATATGTGTCTTACCTAACAACATTCTTTGTCTCCACAGATGCCTCAGTGCACCACTCACCTTTTTTTTCCCTCATCAGTTATATGGTTCACCTCATCTTTCATAGACCCAACTGCTGACTAAGTCCACTCTGAAATATCTGAATGTGTTCACTTCCTCCATACTCCCTCCATCCAGTCTGATATTCAGTCTTTCATTGCCTTCATTTTTTTTGTTACCTTCATGACCTTGCTCTTTCCAATGTTTACTTTTAATTTCCTTCTTTCACATACCCTCCCAAATTCATCCAACCTTTGCAACTTCTCTTCAGAATCTCCCAGAAGCACATTGTCATCAGCAAAAAGCATCTGTGACAACTCACACTTTGTGTTATTCTTTATCAAACCATACCCCTGGCCAGGATTGAACCCCAACACCCCTTCATTCACTTCTCTTATAGCTCCATCAGTAACTGTATTAAACAATCATGGAGGCCTACTTGAGTGCCTGTTCTTTAAAAAAAATCACAACCACATGCACATCAAATCATATAATCAAGAGTGAGAGTATGATCGTCAGGAACATAAACTCTAGAAAAGAGGTGTACTTTCAACTGAGACTTGAAAACACAGGCTCCAGACTTTACAAATGCTGGTAACCTGTTATACAGTCTGGAAGCTATACAAGGGAATGCTCTTTCTGCAAATGATTTCTTCCCAACACATGAGGCAAAATCAGTTTTAAAGGATCTGCAGCAATTTGTAGAAACATTCCTGAGCCTGATGTAGAAGTTACCAAGCAAAGATGCTTGGTTCTTATACTTAATAAATAGTTTTAAATGGGGGGAGTTTCTTCAGTAGAGATTGGTCAAGAACTGTAGATTTGAAAGTTAAGTTTGCCAGAAGTGGAGAGTGTCGGGTTGTAATATTCAGTACATAGTCAGTGACTGAAGAGAGGATGCTCAGATCATCTTACTCTACCACTCACCCGACCCCACTACACAACACGGGCTTGCAATATCCCTCACCACTACCTTCCTAAAGGCATCTAAAACCCTCAAAATAACAGTATGTTTATAGAGAGCATTTATAAATAATGTTGTGTCAAGATACAATGGGAAAGGGGAGATAGTCACAGTTCCTGCTGCCTGTGTAGCGTTGTGAAATGTGTACTTCGAGTCTGGAAGGAAGAGGGAGGTTAAGGAGGTGGAGGGGAGGGAATGTAAGGAAAAAATAAGGGAGGTAAAGGAACAGAAGAAGAAATATAAATGAGGGAAGAAAGGAAATATGAGAGAGAGAGAAAAAGAAGAGAGAAGCTCATGTGAGTTCTGTACATTTTTAATTTTCATTGTTAAAAATAAATGAAATTGGGTAGAGTATAATGGCTGAGTAATGCATCTCTGATTATAACATTGATGAACATCGAAATGGTATAAAATACCAACAAGTTGTTAGGTAAGACACATATGCAACAGTGTAGGCGAAACGTTTCGAAATAAAGATACCTAACTGTTGCATGTGTGTCTTACCTAACAACATAACATTGATGTATATGGAAAAATAGGTTCTGACTACTGAATACTCTGAATACAGTATATTGGTATTCCTTTTGTTGCAAACCATTGCATTCTAGTAAACTAACCTAATTGTACAACTGTTCAGTAATTATAAGTTGATTTTAAGGCTGCCTGAAATGCTCTGCATACCAAGGGATTTATACATGTCCATTAATCCTATGTCAATTGTTACTGTTCTTTATACAAGTAAAGTTGTTTGTTTTATTTGGAATGATATATGAGTTTCAGGAATGCATTGGGGTTATGAGTTGGAGACCTGCTGTATAATTTTGCTGAGTTTATACGGTAACCATTGTTCATCAGAACAGTACCAAGGAATTTACAGCTCATTATTTTTGCATAAATGTTACTTAACATTATTTACTATTTTTACCCTAAATTTTTTACAGATGAATTGCACAGTACTGTCTGTGATGCATCCAGGAGCATTTGCCCTCCTGGTGTACTTTGTGTATACGTATATTATTATGAAGTACATATTAAAAATTCTTGTGAAAGCAGATATGTTAAATTTGTACATTACTACTACATGTATGTTTTTTCATCATTTCAGTGAAGTATTCAAAGCTCGAGACAGAAGGACAGGCAAAGTTGTGGCACTCAAAAAGATTCTCATGGAAAATGAGAAAGAAGGGGTGAGTCTGGCTAGTGACTAATTTTATAAAATCACAGAGGGATTCTTGCCATGCAGTATATTTAAACAAAATTATATAGCATTATGTACAGTGGTATAAATATAAACAAGTATGTGCGTGTGTTTTTGCTTTGTTTGTTATAAATGTGTATTATAAATTTATAGATGATTGAAATTGAAGAAATATAATTCATAGCAAGGGGGTAAAGACTTAGACTTCTTTGAGAATTTATTGAAGTTTATACTATAATTAACATATCAGTGGCAAATCAGTTACCATAACTTGAAGCATGATATAACAATAAATAATCCATAATATACAAAAATTAATTGAACTAGCTAACTTGGGAGCTGTTGTTTCCGTGTCCTCTATGTAATTAGGTGGTTACTGGAGAGCAAGTACAGTGGAACCTCGAGTCTCGGCTGCCTTGAGTATCGGTCGCTTCTAGTTTCAACCGCTTTTTTAGGCTAAATTTTTCAGCCATTGCCCCGTGTTTTGGCTGGTATACGAGACCTGTCTGCCTGCCTGTGCCTGCGCGCCTCCCTGCGCAGGCATCGTGAGCCAGTCTAGCTTTGTTTATCCTCAAGTGAACATTACCCTGCATGCTCATCTGAACATTTCACAATAAATTCATTGTGCTTGTTTATTGATTGTGACTGTGAAATAAACCACCATGGGCCCAAAGAAACTTCATAGTGGCAGCCCTTTGGTAAAGAAAGTGAGAAACACCATAGAAGTGAAGGAGGAGATAGTACAAAAATACAAGTGTCATACATGTGGGCGAGCTTGCCAGGATATACAGCAAAAACAAATCAACAATCACTTTATTCTGGCCAAGAGAAAAGAACTCAAGGAAGCTGATGTTGTGAAAGATGTTGACATGTTAACCAAAAATAGAACACAAACAGTCGAAGAGGTTGAGAAGTTGTTGGTGGTGTGGATCAACACTAAACAGATAGCAGGTGATGGTGTTTCAGAGTCGATCATTTGTTTAAAGGCAAGGCAGTTGCATGCCGATCTTGTAAAGAAAATGCCTGGAACCAGTGCTGATTTTAGTGAATTTAAGGCCAGTAGAGGCTGGTTTGACAGATATAAGAAGCGTAGTGGCATACACAGTGTTGTAAGGCATGGTGAGGCTGCCAGTTCTGACAAATTGGCGGCAGAAAAATGTGTGCATGAATTCAAGGGGTACATTGAGGCTGAAGAATTCAAACCCCAACAAGTGTTCATTTGTGAAGAAACAGGCCTCTTTTGGAAGAAAATGCCAAAAAGGACCTACATTACTGAGGAGAAAAAGGCACTGCCAGGACACAAGCCTATGAAAGACAGGCTTACTCTTTTGATCTGTGCTAACACTAATGGGGATTTTAAAGTGAAGCCTTTACTGGTGTATCACTCAGAAAATCCCAGAGTGTTCAAGAAAAACAATGTTGTCAAAAGTAAATTGTGTGTGTTGTGGAAAGCTAATCATAGGTATGAGCCACGAGGCAAATTTTCAAAGAGTGGGTCCGTGAAGTGTTTGACCCCAGTGGGAAAGAATACCTCCTGGAAAATAATTTGCCACTCTAGTGCCTCCTGGTAATGAACATTGCTCCTGCTCATCCTCCAAACTTGGTAGACCTCTTGTCTAGGGACTTCAGTTATATAACAGTGAAGTTCTTGCCTCCTAACACCACTCCTCTACTCCAACCCATGGACCAGCAGGTCATTTCTAACTTCAAAAAACTCTACAGAAAAGCAGTGTTTGAAAAGTGCTTTGAAGTGACCTCGTGAACATGTTGCCATATCTGCAACATGTTCAGTGACAAAACTTTGTCCCACTTCAGGGAAATCTTAAGAGACACCAGAAACAGAGTACTCTTGACAGTTATTTTGTGTGACAGGGGTCCAGTGACTCTCAAGTGACTCCTAGTGGCATTAAAAGACATAGAGATAGAGCATGAGAGTGAGAGAGAGCATGAGAGTGTGAGAGAGTGTGTGAGAGTGAGAAAGTGTGAGAGTGTGAGAGAGAGAGGGAGAGAGTGTGTGTGTGAGTGTGTGTGTGAGTGTGTGAGTGTGTGAGTGTGAGAGTGTCATGTAGGGGGATAATGATTAGGGGAATATGGGGGTAAGCGGAGGGAGTCAGTAGGCAGGGGACAGGCAGGCGAGGTGGTAGGAGAGATGATTAGCGGAGGTAGGTAGGTAATGTGAGGTCACTGGTGACTACATCTTCATCTCTCATTACTCTACACTCCACACTACTCACCCTCTCACTGCTTTAACTAAACATAATAAAATATAAGAAATAGGAATAACAAATAACGAGGACAGTGAATATTACTATTCTACTCAAACACAGTTTATTATTAAGTCCTTGTACAATAATATATTTGGGAACCGGAGTACATAATTGGGGTTTAGATAAATGGGGTGGTACACATAAGCAGTGAGACAGGGAAATACAATTAACTTGACCAAAATGAATATAACTTACAATATAGTTCAGAGGACAGTTCATCACAGGAACTAAGCCACAGGTCCCAAGACCTATACAGCATGAGTACTGCTCCAAGCCAGTTCTCTGCCCAATGTCTCCAACAGTCTCTCCTCCCGAGACTCTCCAGCTCAGCTCTGCTCACAGGCCAGAGCTCCGCTCGAATCTCCTCTGCTCAGCTGTTCCTTGGGTTTATATGGTGGTCCAAGCACACCCCACAACCACGTGTACGACCTGACGCCTAGGTCTGACGCCGTCAAGAACAAAAGACCTCAGACGTGGGCGTGGCTGACAGACGTTTGCCAAGGCAAGGTGTGACCATATAATTGGTTAAATTAGGTCTCCCCAGAGACCTCACAAGCCCAGCTGGACTACATCACAAGAGTGTGAGAGTGAGAGTGTGAGAGTGAGAGTGTGAGAGTGAGAGTGTGAGAGTGAGAGTGTGAGAGTGAGAGTGTGAGAGTGAGAGTGTGAGAGTGAGAGTGTGAGAGTGTGAGAGTGAGAGTGTGAGAGTGTGAGAGTGAGAGTGTGAGAGTGAGAGTGTGAGAGTGAGAGTGTGAGAGTGAGAGTGTGAGTGAGGTGAGAGTGTGAGAGTGTGAGAGTGTGAGAGTGAGAGTGTGAGAGTGAGAGTGTGAGAGTGAGAGTGTGAGAGTGAGAGTGTGAGAGTGAGAGTGTGAGAGTGTGAGTGGAGGAGGTGTAGAGTGTGAGAGTGGAGTGTGAGAGTGTGAGTAGTGAGAGTGGAGGTGAGAGTGAGATGTGTGAGAGTGAGAGTGTGAGTGAGAGTGAGAGTGAGATGTGGAGTGAGAGTGTGAGAGTGAGAGTGTGAGAGTGAGAGTGAGTGAGAGTGTGAGAGTGAGAGTGTGAAGTGAGAGTGTGAGATGAGAGTGTGAGTGAGAGTGAGAGATGTGTGAGAGTGTGAGAGTGAGAGTAGTGTGAGAGTGAGAGTGTGAGAGTGAGAGTGTGAGGTGAGAGTGTGAGAGTGAGAGTGTGAGAGTGAGAGTGTGAGAGTGAGAGTGTGAGAGTGAGAGTGTGAGAGTTGTGAGAGTGTGAGAGTGAGAGTGTGAGAGGTGAGAGTGGTGTGAGAGTGAGAGTGTGAGAGTGTGGAGATGTGAGAGTGGAGTGAGTGAGATGTGTGAGTGTGAGAGTGATGTGAGTGTGAGAGTGAGAGTGGTGAGAGTAGTGTGAGAGTGAGAGTGTGAGAGTGTGAGAGTGAGAGTGAGAGTGAGAGTTGTGAGAGTGGAGTGTGAGAGTGGAGTGTGAGGTGAGAGTGTGAGTGTGGAGTGAGAGTGGAGTGTGAGAGTGGATGTGTGAGATTTGTGTGGGTGGAGAGTGTGAGAGTGTGTGTGAGAGTGTGAGTAGTGAGAGTGGTGTGAGTGATGTGAGTGATGGTGTGAGATGTGTGAGAGTGTGTGTGAGAGTGTGAGATGGTGTGAGTGTAGGTGTGAAAGATGAGTTGAGTGAGATGTGTGTGAGAGATGGTGTGTGTGTGATGTGTAAGTGTTAGAAGTGTGATGTAGAGTGAAGTGTGTTGTGTGACATGTAAAGTGTGGTGGGTGTAGTGTGGGTGAGTGTGTCAAAGAGAATTTATTGAGGAAATTTGTCGAGTAGGTTGTTTCATTCAATAGATTATAAAGGTATATAGAGTGCAAAAGTGTTTGTGATCATAGGCTAAAAGCATGATAGGTGTAATGACATGTGGAGGATTATAAAGTTTAACAAATGAATTAGCTTTGTTTAGAATGATGTTGAAAATGTGTTTGATTTTCTGGGTACTACCATGTGGTAAATATTTCAAAACTTTTTTAGATTTTGCCTCATGAAGACTTTTGGATCCTTTAATTTATACTAGTATAACAAGATAAACTTGCTAATTGCAATTGTTTCCATAAGATTATGAATCAGTACAAATGTGAATGTTCAATTTTCTAGGTTGAACTTTACTGATGCCATTGGTAAAAAGAATTTAAACAACTTTTTATGACATTACATAGCATAGCACTAGTGGATCAGTATCTTAAGTTACTAACAATGAACAACTTGTTTACAGTAAACTTGTGGAAATTGCTCGCTAACAAAAGGTTAGTTTCACAAATAAGAATTGTATGTCAGGTAAACAAAGTCCATGTATGCAGTATCTTCTGAAGGTTATGAAGCATAACTGTAATGTACTTCCACATTCAAAGAATTTAGCAACATGTTTATGAACATTAAGCATAGATATGAGCACTGGTGGGCACAGTTCTGCTAATCCACTAACCGCTAATTAGCGGAACTAACTTTTTGTTTAGCGGATTAGCGTTTCCGCTAACTTTGGAAACCATTAGTGGACCAATTAGCTTCTGCTAACTTAGAGTCCGCTTAAAAAAAATTCATATGTTGTTGGTAGTCAGAAAGCAATGTCTTTTCAATGGCTCATGTGTTTGTTCCCGTCTGTTGTGTGTGGGCATTTTTCTAACAGTCAGTCAGGCACACTATTTGCTGACTACGTGTGAAACGTGACCTGTCAGTGCAGCAGCAACATCATCTGAGCAACATTGTTATAGTCTTACAGTGTCAGTGATCACATGGGTGAGTTGTCACTTATCGTTATGAACAGGGGAGACGTTTCTGTTCTGCCTGAGGGTGTTGTTGAGGAGTGGCTGTGGTTGAAGCAGAGGCCACTCAGGTTGAGGGCCAGGAGTTGCAGAACCCATGGCACCACCTGGATGACTATTTTGTCCTCAACTCAAGGGATATGAAGAATGCTAATACTTTGTACTTCCTGTGCATCATGTGCCAGCCCAAGGAGACCATCATCAAGGGACAGGCAGCGAGCCTCTACAACTTGAAGTTGCACGTTAAGAGGAAACACCCAGGGCATACCATCAAATTTGAGGAGAGAATCAAGACCGGATCTTCCCGTGGAAAACAGGCAATCTTCTTGTGGCAGTGCCACTAGCAGGAGCAGCTCATGAAGGGCAACCAGCATCACATCAAAGCGATGGAGAAGGCCCAGCCAGAGTAGTAATCAGCTCAGCCATCATCCGAGCTTGGCATGATACCCATGCTATGCATTTTGTGTGTGTTGGATTTAAACTGATGTTTGATTTCATTTGTTCATTTAACTATTTGTGTACACATGTATGGCTGTATTGCTGGTGCAGCAATAAGTTGGCTTCAAGGTTTCAACTTTATGCATGATTTTCAACTACTTACTTGTAGTTTATTGGGTCAAAATCTAAACATGAACAGAAACAGAATAAAATGAATGAATACAATAAGTAACTGGAACTAATGAAGAAAACAGTCAAATAAGCTAACTCAATCTGTTTGAATGCTATGGGGCTTCAGTACAGCGACAAGTGTGTCCTTGTTGGTCGCTCGTGTTACGTCACAAAATTAAACAATCGCTATTTTTGCACTTGATCATCATATGACCTTGGCATTCTGTATCTTATGAGGAAGCTCTCCAGGTCTGTTCTAAAAGTCTTAAAAGTAAAAGACCAGAAAACTAAACCGAATCTGAATTCATGTGAAAAAATTAATGCTTAGAGTTAGCTTCACCAAATTTTTTTGGCTGTTTAGCAGTTTAGTGTTAATGGAGCTAATTTTTTAGTGGATTAGCGGTTAGTGAAGCTAACTTTTTGGTTAGCTGTGCCCACCACTGGATATGAGGAATAAAAAAGAGCATTTTCTTATTAAATTAAAAAAAACTCGTGGAACAGTCATTTTGATAATGACTTGTGAAATTGCAATAACAGGCGTTGATTGCAAACAAATCAAAGAACTGGCCTATAAGTTTTAGGACTTGTCTGCCATGGGTTCAAATGCCCACCTGTTCTGTGATTTATTTTGATAATATTAGAGATGGAAAGACTTTAGTTTTTGGTAAAATTTGGCAAGTAAAACATAGCTTTTTTACTTTATTTCGTTATCTGTTGCACCATGATTTAGGTACAAATACAGCCTCTCCTCGCTTACCAATATACTCGTTTACTGACAACTCAGATTTGCGGTGGGCTCTCTGACGAATTGTTATTATCTACTGTACGAGAACTTGGGTCGTGAACAGGCAGCGCAGCGTCTCAGCATCAAGCTTCTGAATCTCCTTCCTACAACCACTCAGTACTCTAGCTGTCACAGTCTCTAAGACTACATATTTGTACAAATTTCCTGTTGCTTTTTCTCTTAGAAGAGGAAAAACAAGAGGAAAATGGAAGAAGTACAGAAGAAGTTTGTTGTAAAGGGGTTAATGATGCATCTGAGCATCAAGCAATCTCCAAGACTACATATTTTGTCTATAAACTTGTACCTTACTGTACATCCCATTGTACATAGAAGATAGAGTTAGAAGTGCAGCAGCACTTGGAAGGGAAAAACAAGAGGAAAATGGAAGAAGTACAAAAGAAGTTCACAGTAAAGGGGGTTAGCTGGTGTGTTCGTATGTGTGTTTACATTCTTGGTGTATCGTGGCAGCTTAAGAGATTATTAAACTTGGTGAACAAGGTATATCTATAGTAATAATAATTAATAGTAATAATTGCTCTGGAGTGCTTTAAATGTCAGCTACCAAACCTATATGAAATACTTATGACATTTGAAGTGCTCCAGATTGATTATTTATATATTATTATTATAAAAAATTATTATAAATTATTACTGTATTATTTTTTTTTTTTAACAAGTCGGCTGTCTCCCACTGAGGCAGGGTGACCCAAAAAGAAAGAAAATCCCCAAAAAGAAAATACCTTCATCATCATTCAACACTTTCACCTCACTCACACACAATTACTGTTTTTGCAGAGGTGCTCAGAATACCGCAGTTTAGAAGCATATACGTATAAAGATACACAACATACCCCTCCTTTAAAGTGCAGGCATTGTACTTCCCATTTCCAGGACTCAAGTCCGGTTATATGAAAATAACCGGTTTCCCTGAATCCCTTCACTAAATATTACCCTGCTCACACTCCAGCAGCTCGTCAGGTCCCACATACCATTCGTGTCCATTCACTTATATCTAACACGCTCACGCACGCTTGCTGGAAGTCCAATAAATAATAAATGCTATTTTTGCATTGTTTCTTAAGACGAGTGATCTACGAGTGTTTCCCCTGATGTAAACCCTATTTTCTTTTGTTATAGACCAGAAAACTTTACACGCTATGCGCCTGTAAGGTAACTATAGTTCATTCTTATGTTATGCAAAGACTGAAAAAAGTGCGATTTTCTCGGAAAAAAAATTTACCAAGTAGTACTAATCAGCTATGCACACGTTTCCTGGAATATCTTGGAAGTAAGTCATTGACCTATTTTATGTTGTATTACCATTAATAATAAACAGATTGAAAGGAATTTCCCAGCAAACATAAAAGTGAATGTTTTAATTTTGGGTGGTGACACTTTTGAAGTGTCAGTAAGGGGTGATTCCTTGATTAGCGACGAATTCGTTTACTGATGGGGTCTTAGGCCCATATCTCCGTTGTTAAGTGAGGAGTGGCTGTATACAATTTTGTTTGATCTTATATAATTTTTGTGGTTCTTTGCTTTCTTCTAGGTCCACCACCCCCAGGGCTTCAGAAGCCTGCAAAAGGTAGGTTATTTATTAGGTCCTTTCAAAATGCCTATACATCAGTCACTCACCAAATAGCACCTAAAAGCTTAAGCCAGTGTTTTTGGCTGATGAAACCACATTTGGGACATTCCATGTCAATTCAACCAAAATTTTGTAATTTTTTCATAGCACATCTCCAGTTGTCCTCAGAATTGGCACTCTTGTAGATTTCAGTGAGAAAATGAGATTGGTTTTTGTCCTAACAGTTCTGGAGATACAGGTCACAGAACTTTGACTGAAAGGTCATTTTTGGCAGGTCATGTGAAATTTTGAATTAAAATATCTGCCCTTGTATGGTACCCACAGACCTGAAGCTAAAGAGTAGTTCTAAAACTATTATTTAGATCATTTTTGACTTCAGAGGTTAAAAAAAAAAATGACTTTTTTTGTGACCTTAGACCTGAAAAATTTCAAAATGCACAATGTACATTTTTCTCACTCACTAAATGTAGATTAATCTACATGACTATTTCAGACTCCAATGAGAATTTTCGTGGGTTTTAATTAGATTAGATGCCACATCCACTTTAGTAAACCTACTCAGTGCTATTTTCACCTTTGACCTTTGCCATAAACTTCTCCAGACTGTATCTCTAGGACTATTATGGCTAGAATAGTGAGATAAATGTAATTTCTTCTTAAGGAGCTATAACAGAAGAGAAATAACTAAGAACATTGCCAGAATATTATGTAATTTTTGGTACAAAATGTAATATAAAAAATTCACCCAGCTCTTTTGTGTGTGTGTGTGCACATGTGTGGTCACGTGTGTGGTCACGTGTGTGGTCACGTGTGTGGTCACGTGTGTGGTCACGTGTGTGGTCACGTGTGTGTGCAGTGTGTGTGCAGTGTGTGTGCAGTGTGTGTGCAGTGTGTGTGCAGTGTGTGTGCAGTGTGTGTGCAGTGTGTGTGCAGTGTGTGTGCAGTGTGTGTGCAGTGTGTGCAGTGTGTGTGTGTGTGTGTGTGTGTGTGTGTGTGTGTGTGTAAAATAATAATTATACCATAGTCCTAACCTATTTCCCATTTTTATTTAGACTTTTTCGAGGCACGGTATATAAAATTTTTATTCATTTGCCACATACTCTTTCTGTTCTCAAATCATGTGTAAACCCTGTATAGCACAGTCGGTATCCTCCCTCCCCTTGCCTCCAAATCTGTTTACTATTTCTGCCTTGTTGCTTTTTCTGGCAGTCTCTTAACTCTTGCCTTAAGCTTCAAATCAGCAGATATCTCGCTGCAGAAAAACAGTATGTAGGTTTTAGTAAATTACCAGAAATTTCTCTATTTTTTTTTTTATCTTTCACAGATCTAGGATGATTTTCACAATATTGCTTTTAGCCCATCAGTGTCATACTTGATATTTATACTGTATTAGCTTTTTTTTGGATACTTACCATGACTTTCATTTGTGTTGGTCTTTGTGTAAAATTAGGGATATTTGCATATACAGTAGGACCCCTGTATTCGCGGGTCTGGTATCCACCGTTTCAGTTATCTTAGGTTTATCGTGGCTCCAAAATAACCCTTAATTTTGCTTAATAATGGCCTCAGAGTGCAAAACTAGTTCTTCAAGGCCTGAGTGAAGCTGGAAGTGTTTCCCATCAGTGGAAAAGTGATAATTCTCCACATACTGTGTGTAATTTATCAATTAAACTTTATAATAGGGACTTATAGGACTTATATACTATAGAGTTGGCTACCATCCCTGGTTTTGGTATCCATGGCAGGTCCTTGGAATGTATCCCCCGCAGATATGGGAGTCTTACCGTATATATATATGTTTATTTTAACATGAATTATTGGTAAATTAAGCATCATCAATTTACATAGTGTTACTGGTAATTTCTTGTCCTCGCCAGCAACACCACACATGTCCAGTCTTTCTACTTTCTTCTTGGTGTTTGAATTTTGTGAACACGACCTGGCTGGCTTGCTCTCCAATGTTAACGTAAAATTTAATCTTGGAGAAATTAAAAAGGTAAGGAGAAAAATTGTCAATCTTTTTTATTAGATCTACAGGGCATGATTAGGTAGATTATAGTGGAAAAATGAACATGTTATTAGTAGATGGAGGAACTTACATGCCTCTCAAAAGTTGATATGAAAGGAACCAGTGCCCAGTTTATTATAGATGAATTCAGTTCTGTGCATCATAGAATGTATTGCTCTAATTGCTATATTAGTACTACATTTGGTTTCCTATTAAAATTACTTACTTGTTTACCCTTATTTTGGGGTAATTTTTTTGTTTGCCTCTAAGTACTTTTGTGGAAGAAATAGTTTGATGTTTCTTCCCTTTTATCATCATTCTAGCAACTTGCCACATTCTTAGGAAGTAAAGTATGACACTTCTTAAGCAGCCTGTATATATTTTTTTATCTGGAATATATACATAATGTTTTTTAATTAGTAATAATACAATAAGTGCAAATTTAATCTTTTTGAGTAGGTTTCAGTTATAATGGAGTAGTTATTATCCATGCTGATGAGTTATACTGTTTTGTTCTTGTACTTTGAACACTGTAATATATAAATGACTGATGCTATTTATCCAGGTTTTTATCCTTTAACTTCCATTCTAGCTAATTTCTTCAGACTCTGTACCTTCCATTGAGGTAGAGTAACCCAAACAGGGTAATGCATTTACCATCACTCATTCATTAGCCATCTTACCAGAAGTGTGCAGACGTTACATTTCAGATGACCATCCAAACTGTGTGGGCACTATTTCCCACCTCCAAGACTTGAATTCCTTATAAATGATTTGTTGCTTGCACTCCAATAGCTTTTCTAGAAATAAAAACCACTCTTCTCCATTCACTCTGATCTAACATAATCACACAAACATGCTGGATGCTCAAGCCTCAAGCACTCAAACCTCTTTAACTCTCTTCCTCCAATCCTTCCTGGGAAAATACTTTGCCTACAGTAGACATAATAAATATGCACTCCCAAAAGTACACCTTTAGCAAACTTTGCCTGACACATTCTAGAAGTGCCAGGGCAACTTTTGTATGGAAGACAGTGCCCTTTGCCAAACTGCCAATACATTAAGAATTGACTAAATTATTGTAATTTTTCCACACTTGAATAACTGGCCTGAAAATTTGCTGGATTTCAGTCCAGTAGAGAACGTCTTTAAACTTATTAAACGAAAGCTTTGTGGCATAGACGTGTACTTTGATCCAAAATCTCGAGTGGGAGGGTATTGACTTTTCTATCCTGCATTAAGAGGAAGAGTAATCTTACTAAATACTAGTTTAGGTGAGGACTGCATTCGTATTTCAGTATTATATATTTAAAACTATAGATTATGGGGAGCAGTCTCACTTTCCATGTGAATTGTATGCATGTGCATATTTATGAAGCCTACTGTGTACGTTTGTATGTATAGAGTAGACCTTTGATTTAAGATGTTGTCTATTAGGATATTTAGTTTTGCTACAAGACTGTTGAGAGAGTGGCATTTTTTCAATCATGGTGACATGATTTTTTGTATGACTGTGTAAATTTAGGAAAAAAATAGCTAATAGCTGGTACAGGAAGGCTAGTAACCAATAATTTCACTGTAACTACACATTATTGTGCCTTAACAATCATTCACTTACCCTAATTGTATTTGTACAAGTGTTAAATGTGTTAGTGATGGATAATAAAGTGTGAAAAATACTCTAAATGAAAAAGTGATGGGATAATCTTGTGGCACTGCCACTATAAATATTTGTGTTTGAAGTTTATAGGACCATCAAAGTATACACCGTTTATATAAAAATTGTTTATCACCATGAGTCACAGGAAAACTAACAAATGTTTCCTGCATACTGGTCAGTACATGGAATTGGTTATGGTAGCTCGATTGCTAGTGCACTCAGCTCACACACTGAGGTTCGGGGGTCGATCCCTGGCATGGGTGGAAACATTAGAACATGTTTCCTTGAGGCACCTGCTGTCCTTGTTCATCTCTCAGTAAAATGGGTACCTGGGTGTTAGTCGACTGGTGTGGGTCTCATCCTGGGACAAAAGTGGCCTAATTTGCCCAAAATGTTCTGCATAACAAGCGACTTTCTGTATACATTGTAGTATGTCATTGATGTCAGCTAGGCCTGTATACCTTGCACATGTAGAAATATATTATTGTTATTGTTATTATTATAAACAGTCTTGTTTTCAGTGTGATTTGTTTGTATGTGCATATTTATGGTGAAATATTGCAATTTACAGCTTGTCGAGACCTTGTATTTTTATTATGTTGCTCATTCCAAGTGAGATAAGAGATGTAAGAAACCAGTATTGTTTGTCTGTGACCTGTCAGTTCTATTTTGTTGCTATTTACACATGTAGGAGAGAAGTATTTTTTTAGGATTATATCATAGAATATTTTGAATATTTTGAGAATATTTTGAGGAACTTTTAAATGTTGAGGAAGAAAGGGAGGCGGTAATTTCATGCACTGGCCAGGGAGGTATACCATCTTTTAGGAGTGAAGAAGAGCAGAATGTAAGTGTGGTGGAGGTACGTGAGGCATTACGTAGAATGAAAGGGGGTAAAGCAGCTGGAACTGATGGGATCATGACAGAAATGTTAAAAACAGGGGGGATATAGTGTTGGAGTGGTTGGTACTTTTGTTTAATAAATGTATGAAAGAGGGGAAGGTACCTAGGGATTGGCAGAGAACATGTATAGTCCCTTTATATAAAGGGAAAGGGGACAAAAGAGATTGTAAAAATTATAGAGGAATAAGTTTACTGAGTATACCAGGAAAAGTATACGGTAGGGTTATAATTGAAAGAATTAGAAGTAAGACAGAATGTAGAATTGCGGATGAGCAAGGAGGCTTCAGAGTGGGTAGGGGATGTGTAGATCAAGTGTTTACATTGAAGCACATATGTGAACAGTTTAGATAAAGGTAGGGAAGTTTTTATTGCATTTATGGATTTAGAAAAGGCATATGATAGAGTGGATAGAGGAGCAATGTGGCAGATGTTGCAAGTTTATGGAATAGGTGGTAAGTTACTAAATGCTGTAAAGATCTTTTATGAGGATAGTGAGGCTCAGGTTAGGGTGTGTAGAAGAGAGGGAGAATACTTCCCGGTAAAAGTAGGTCTTTGACAGGGATGTGTAATGTCACCATGGTTGTTTAATATATTTATAGATGGGGTTGTAAAAGAAGTAAATGCTAGGGTGTTCGGGAGAGGGGTAGGATTAAATTATGGGGAATCAAATTCAAAATGGGAATTGACAGTTACTTTTTGCTGATGATACTGTGCTTATGGGTGATTCTAAAGAAAAATTGCAAAGGTTAGTGGATGAGTTTGAGAATGTGTGTAAAGGTAGAAAGTTGAAAGTGAACATAGAAAAGAGTAAGGTGATGAGGGTATCAAATGATTTAGATAAAGAAAAATTGGATATCAAATTGGGGAGGAGGAGTATGGAAGAAGTGAATGTTTTCAGATACTTGGGAGTTGACGTGTCGGCGGATGGATTTATGAAGGATGAGGTTAATCATAGAATTGATGAGGGAAAAAAGGTGAGTGGTGCGTTGAGGTATATGTGGAGTCAAAAAACGTTATCTATGGAGGCAAAGAAGGGAATGTATGAAAGTATAGTAGTACCAACACTCTTATATGGATGTGAAGCTTGGTGGTAAATGCAGCAGCGAGGAGACGGTTGGAGGCAGTGGAGATGTCCTGTCTAAGGGCAATGTGTGGTGTAAATATTATGCAGAAAATTCGGAGTGTGGAAATTAGGAGAAGGTGTGGAGTTAATAAAAGCATTAGTCAGGGGGCAGAAGAGGGGTTGTTGAGGTGGTTTGGTCATTTAGAGAGAATGGATCAAAGTAGAATGACATGGAAAGCATATAAATCTATAGGGGAAGGAAAGAGGGGTAGGGGTCATCCTCAAAAGGGTTGGAAAAAGGGGGTAAAGGAGGTTTTGTGGGCGAGGGGCTTGGACTTCCAGCAAGCGTGCATGAGCGTGTTAGATAGGAGTGAATGGAGACGAATGATACTTGGGACCTGATGATCTGTTGGAGTGTGAGCAGAGTAATATTTAGTGAAGGGATTCAGGGAAACCGGTTATTTTCATATAGTCGGACTTGAGTCCTGGAAATGGGAAGTACAATGCCTGCACTTTAAAGGAGTGGTTTAGGATATTGGCAGTTTGGAGGGATATGTTGTGTATCTTTATATGTATATGCTTCTAAACTGTTGTATTCTGGGCACCTCTGCAAAAGCAGTGATAATGTGTGAGTGTGGTGAAAGTGTTGAATGATGATGAAAGTATTTTCTTTTTGGGGATTTTCTTTCTTTTTTGGGTCACCCTGCCTCGGTGGGAGACGACCGACTTGTTGAGAAAAAAAAAAAAAAATCATAGAAAATCAAGTTCATTACAAGAAGTTATATGCAACATTTACAAAGTACTGTATTTTACACACAAATTTCTTTTATCTCAAAAGAAACTAGTTCTTTAGTAATAAGGCTACTGTTAATGAACTCATCTTTTTACTACAGTACCAAATAAGTCTAGTATCAAACCTTGTTCTGCTGAACATCATTCATGCTGTTGCAATCATGCATCAATCAATAAGAGTTTGTTTTTGTCTTCCCTTAATCCCTGGCATTTGAATTGGCCTGCTATAGTTTTAGGACTGGCTCTTCCTCACAAGAGATCCCTTAGCACAATGGGATTTTACTTAAAATGCCTTCCTTTTGCTGTGTCATTGTTGTAATTGATCATGTAACATCCATGTTTATGAATAGGCTGGCCAAATTAGAATTACTAGTACAATACAGTGGACCCCTGGTTAACGATATTTTTTCACTCCATAAGTATGTTCAGGTGCCAGTACTGACCGAATTTATTCCCATAAGGAATATTGTGAAGTAGATTATTCCTTTCAGACTCCCAAACATACACGTACAAACGCACTTACATAAATACACTTACATAATTGGTCGCATTTGGAGGTAATCGTTATGCGGGGGTCCACTGTATATGTATGTATTTGGCTCCACGGTAACTGGGCTTTGAAGTGTTTTGGCCATTTAATAAGAATGGAGCAAAATTAGATGACAGAGGGTGTATACTGTGCTAAATCCAGGGTGAGGGAAAGATGGGTAGGGGTCATCCCTGGAAGGGATGGAGTAAGGTTGTAGAGTATTGAGCATTTAGCAGGTGCTTGTGAGCATGACGGATTGGAGTGAGTAATGACAAGTGGCTTTTGGGGTTTCATGTGCTCTTGGAATGTGAGCAAGATATACTGAAAGAGACCAATATATCTGAAATACGAAAGGAGGCACTAGTCAGAGAAATAGCAAATATCGAACTTAAGCTTAAGGATACACAAATAACCCGCACATAGAAGAGAGGAGCTTACGACGACGTTTCGGTCCGACTTGGACCATTTACAAACTCTCACAAACCAGAAGTGGAGCAGGACGGCTATATATAGGCAGGAAGAGGTAGTGGTAGTGGTGGTGGTAGTAGTAGTAGTAGTAGTAGTGGTAGTAGTAGTAGTAGTAGTAGTGGAAGTAGTGGGGAACTAAGATAAGAGATAAGATTTCGTTCGGATTTTTAACCCCAGAGGGTTAGCCACCCAGGATAACCCAAGAAAGTCAGTGCGTCATCGAGGACTGTCTAACTTATTTCCATTGGGTCCTCAATCTTGTCCCCCAGGATGTGACCCACACCAGTCGACTAACACCCAGGTACCTATTTACTGCTAGGTGAACAGGACAACAGGTGTAAGGAAACGTGTCGAAATGTTTCCACCCGCCGGGAATCGAACCTGGGCCCTCCGTGTGTGAAGCGGGAGCTTTAGCCACCAGGCCACCGGGCCAGTCAAATATAAAGAAAGGGGAGCACTGCAAGGGAGCTAGGTGCCCACAGAGGGAGAGCAAGTGCACAGAGGTGGGGGGAAGGGGAAGTGATGAAATAAAAAAGGGAGGAACAGAAACACATGACAGAAGAAAGACAAAAAAAAAAAAAAAAAAAGAAAGGGGAAGAGGGAGAAGAAGAAAAAATGAGGAATCAGGTTAAGTCACGGGTGTTCTGAAGTTTGGAGCATTTTACAATGTAGTGGGAGAGGAAGGCATTTGCAGAGATGAAGCCAGGACTAAGATTCATACAAGGAAAGTTGTGTATTAGAGAGGATTCAACAAGACAGCGGCTGTTAAAGTTGGAAGTAGGGAAGACAGTTTTAGCAGAAGACCAGTCTATAGGATGGCTGTGATCTCTGACGTGACAGAAAAGAGCATTGTTAGTGTCGGTAAGCCTAACACTATTTTTGTGCTCCCTAAGTCTGTCAGAAAGAGATCGGCCAGTTTCTCCAAAGTATTGAAGAGGGCAGGAGGAGCAAGAACTAGAGTAGACACCAGGAACATCTGTAGAGGGAAGAGAGGTATGAACGAGATTAGTGCGAAGAGTGTTAGTCTGGCGGAAAGTAAGCTTGATGTCTAAGGGACGGAGAGAATTGTAGAGATTAGAAAGACCGGAAATGTAGGGAAGGCAGAGGACAGAAGAGTTCCCAGGAGTAGAGAGTTTAGGAGAGAAGAAATTACGTTTAGCTCGTGAGAAGGCAGAGTCTATGAAATGGGAAAGGTAGCTGGTGCTGGTGCTGCTGGTGCTGCTGGTGGTGCTGGTGGTGCTGATGCTGCTGCATTGCTGCTGCTGGTGCTGGTGCTGCTGGTGCTGCTGCTGGTGCTGCTGGTACTGCTGGTGCTGGTGCTGCTGGTGCTGGTGCTGCTGGTGCTGGTGGTGCTGCTGCTGGTGGTGCTGCTGCTGGTGGTGCTGCTGGTGGTGCTGGTGGTGCTGGTGGTGGTGCTGCTGCTGGTGCTGCTGCTGGTGCTGCTGCTGCTGCTGCTGGTGGTGCTGGTGGTGGTGCTGGTGGTGCTGGTGCTGCTGGTGGTGGTGGTGGTGGTGGTGGTGGTGGTGGTGGTGCTGCTGCTGCTGCTGCTGCTGCTGCTGCTGCTGCTGCTGCTGCTGCTGCTGCTGCTCCTGCTGCTGCTGCTGCTGCTCCTGCTCCTGCTTGCTCCTGCTCCTGCTTGCTCCTGCTTGCTGCTCCTCCTCCTCCTCCATCATGTGCGGGTTATTTGTGTATCGTTCCAGTCATGGTATTATGCCTTTTTTTTTTTTTTTTTTTTTTGTTATTTAAGCTTAAAGAATCATTTAGGAGACAAGAAACACAGGAAGAATCTAAAGCCATAATTGAAATTGAAAAATAAAAGCAAAATACATGTACTTCTTTTTTTTTATGCCAAATCTAGGGCAAAAACAACATCCAGTATCGGACCCCTGCTTAAAAGAGATGGGACTTACACAGATGACAACCAAAAAATGAGTGAGATACTGATGTTCCAGTATGACTCGGCATTTAGTGAGCCATTAATCAGACTATGGGTCGACAGTCTAAATGAATTTTTTATGATTCTAAACTCAAAATTTGGATAATTCAAAAATTTCTATTATCCTAACAACAAATGGTTGAGAATCTTTTTCTGAAGGTAATAAAACAAAAAGTACAAAATTTGATCAAAAGCTGACAAAATAACTCTCGCAAATTTTGCTGTGTCAGCGATATTTATGCATCAGTGATTTTACCCACCTTGAGTCCAATTTTAGGCCAAATACATTGCTCCAGGCGACCAAATTTTTAGCTGTTTCTCTAGTAAGCCTTCCATTCTTTCGATTGAGCACAAGAAACTGTCCATTCAACTATTTCAACTACCCAATAAAGTGATCAGAAATTGGTAATTTGGCCAGTTTCACATAAAATTCAAGGAATGTTAATTTCGAAATAGGATCCTGAATACATAATGAAGACATTCCTGGCACTAAAATAACATTTTTTTCAGTTCATTAGTTATGTCCCCAGACCTCCCCAATATTACACATTAATTCCATTTAGAATTTTTATTCAGACAAAAAATGGAATATTAACTATTACGCAGACTACCGCATTATTGTAATATTTGTATAAATAATGTCAGTGCATTCATAAATGTGTATTAGACTGGCCAGATTTATGCATTTTGAATGAGTGACATCATTTGAGTACTCTCGAATATCATCAAAAATAGAACATTCTGCTACTTTGAGCTCAATTTCAAACTACTTTCAGTCCTGAAAGCAATCAGAATCATCTCTATTTCTGTAATATATCTTCCATTATACCATATGAGACCAAGAAACCTAGAATACCACTATAAAAACCACATGAAAATACAGTGGAATCTCTCTTTTTGGCTGTAATCTGTTCCAGTAGGTCGGCCTGAATTCGAAAGGGCCTTAATTCGAAACTATATTTCCCATAAGAATTAATGTAAATACAATTAATCCATTCCAGACACCCAAAAATATTCACAAAAAAATAAATTTTTTAAAGATTAATTATAGTTTTACATACACAAAACAGTGAGAACTAAATAAATTAAATTACCATTTAAATCACTACTGTTACATACCTTTATTGAAGATTCTTGTTGGCTTATGGAAGACAGGGAGGAGGAGGAGAGAGGGAGGGCACATTTGTCAGAACTTGCAGCCTCCCCATGCCTTACAACACTGTGTATGCTACTACGCTTCTTAAATCTCTCAAACCAGCCTCTGCTGGCCTTAAATTCACTAACATCATCATGAGCACCAGGCATTTTCTTTACAAAATCCGCATGCAGCTGCCTTGCCTTTTCACAAATGATTATCGCTGAAACACTATCTCCTGCTAACTGTTTTTCCTGATCAACAACAACAACTTCTCAACATCTTCATTTGTTTGTGATCTCTTTTTTGTTAACAGGTTTACCCCCTTTTGCCACATCAGCTTCCTTGATTTGTTCTTTCTTTGAGAGGATAGAAGTGATTGTTGATTTGTTTTTGCCATACATCCTGGCAAGTTCCAGCACCTGTACACCACTCTCATATTTTTCTATTACTTCCTTCTTAAATTCCATCATGTTTCTTAGTTTCTTTACCAAAGGAACTTTACTAGGAACTTTCTTGGGGCCCATGGTTACTTATTTCACAGTCACACTTAAATACAAAAACAATGGATTTTAAGGAAATGTTTGGATGAATGCGGGGAGTATATGCTCACTCGCCAATAGACAAAGGGAGACTGACTCACTAAAGCCCAGCATCCCAGCGGGAGAGGCAGGCTAACATTTCTAATACGGCCGATACATGAGGCAACGGCTGAAATACAGAGCAAAATTTCCGCCAAAAAACTGGCCTAAATATGAATTGGCCAATAAACAAAATGGCCAAAAAACTTGGTTCTACCGTACACCTCAAAGTTGGTGTTTTAAACCAAAAACACGGTCAAAGTTTTTTATTCCCATTGTGCACTGCTTGCTGCAGAATTTTTTTTATATGGTGCACACTTGCCACATAGACCTATTCTCTCGTATCTAGGCCCAAATTTACCGCTCACAGCTTATCTGAGTGAGCTCGTGGCGTAGAACTACGGGACTGACCCAGGCTTCAAAGCCGAGCCTCGAAGGGTTAACAGGCAAATGAAACTAAATTTATTTTTTATTTATAAGTTTAATTTACTGCAGATTGAATATGTAGTTAATTAGTGTATTTAACATTTACTAATTTGTTTGTCCTTTGAATGCAGGTAATGCAGCAGTTGCTCAATGGACTTTACTACATTCATTCCAACAAGATTCTCCACCGAGATCTCAAAGCTTCAAATGTTCTTATCACAAAAAATGGAATCTTGAAATTGGCCGATTTTGGTCTGGCCCGTGCATTTAGTACTAGCAGACAAGGACCAAATAGGTGTGTTATTAATTACAGATACTTGTACATTGGCCCATTTATATATACAGGTGTATATATATTTTTTATTGTGTACTGTACTTTATTATATCTGCATGAATTAGATTTTCATCATTACAGTATTGTATATAAAATATTGAGTTTGTTCTTATTTTTATAGAATTACTAATTAATTAATTTTAATACTGTACTACACTTCCTAAAACCCATTCCACTTGACTTGTTGATTCATCTGCTTGAAAGCTTGAGTAAAGCTTATTTCATGACCTTGCTATCAGCAGCTGTATTACTCGGCAACTTTGAAACCCATGCCTATGTTAATTAAACAGTATAGAAGCTCCTTATGGCATGCTGTATTTATATATATGCATATTTTTTTTTCTTTTACATTAGGGATAGTCATTGCCTACACTAACCACTTGGTTAAACAATAATCCTTAAAATCAGAGGTCAGTTGGCTTGTAGACTTTGATGGCTGGAGTTGGGTTACAGTATTATAAGTTCTACAAAGACAGTGATTATGTATGAATAATGGTGAAAGTCTTGAATGATGATGAAAGTTTTTTCTTTCTTTTTGGGTCACCCTACCTCGGTGGGAAGCTGCCGACGTGTTAAAAAAAAAAAGTTCTGAAGGCAACCTTGGCATTAAAGAGCTTACATTATAGACAGTGTTTTGACTCATGAGATCGTAATGATACAATTGCAAAGAAACAGTGTTTTGCTTGTCCTGAGTGAAGCTTTGTCCCTGATAAAAGCTTTCCCATGTGTTGTGGTTTTCTTTTCACATCTTAACCTAGAAGGAAGTAACCTTGTCGCAGAGGGGAATACTCAGCATACTGTCGGCAAGCATTCTTTGGTAATAGGGAGAATGTTGCTGTGACTGTTGGTAAAGCCAGACTAACTGCTGTCACTAATGTAGAACTTTGTAGAACTTGAAGTTGTTTATGTTGGATGATTGGTGTTTGAACTATGGTACTTGGGAGATGGGGTCCTTGTACCAGCATGCACAAACATTCAGATCATGGAGGAGCTCCACTGTAGGGAAACATCCTGGGAATACAAAACTCCCATTTCAACCTGTGGTCAGTCCTCTTGTCCTTCAGTAGGTGGTGGCCCCCTGTTTTTGTGTCCCATTATTTTTCAAAGAAATATGTATAACATTATATAGATTTGACTACTTCACAGCTTGCTTCCCTGTAATGGATTAATGCTGTATTTAATCCTTTGATTGTCGCAACCCCAAATCCTGAAGTGTCTGGTGGCCTGGTGGCTAGAGCTCCCGCTTCACACACGGAGGGCCCGGGTTTGATTCCCGGCGGGTGGAAACATTTCGACACACTTCCTTACACCTGTTGTCCTGTTCACCTAGCAGCAAATAGGTACCTGGGTGTTAGTCGACTGGTGTGGGTCGCTGTTACGACTTAATCTTCACCGTAACAATAGGGGCACAAATAACTCCATTTTTTTTGTTAGTTTTATTTTATTACCAATCATTTAGCTTCATTGGTATTTGGTTAGTGATTTAAAATAACCACAAGCAATTATAAATGAAACACTATACAGCAAGAAACCCAATCTTACGTTCAAATTCTCATTAACAGAGTATGATACAATAATTTCAATTAATAATCTACCTTTTTAAAAGGTCTAGGGAAACGAAATAGTTTATTTTTCAAAAGTGCAAAATTACCAACTAATGGCAAAGGCAAACTGGTAAAAGTTTTATTTTAAAAGTAGGGTTTGGGGGTTAAGACCCAAAACCGAGTCAAGCTGGGAAGGGACTGACCACTCAACTACTTCAAGTATGATTCACTCGGCCAGAAGGCACCGTGCGTCAATTCTAGAACCACCATTGGTCACACGTAGGGGTTAAACACATTCGTATACCAAAACCTAAAAAATATAATAAAAAATTTATATTTATAATAATCAGGGGGAAAGATATAAAAAATACAAAAAATAAAAGAGAGTATTTTGATGATTCATCTGTACCCATAATAATAAAGTCGAACCTGTTTTATTACTAGAAAAAATGGTTCGCGATTATTTTTACAGAATTTATTTTAACCAGGCCTTTTTTTTTTGTATATAAGGGATGAATGGGGGCGCGAACCCTCCCCCCTGGACTGACGGTCGCCATTGACTTGTACTCTCTTGGGGGGTAGCACTGTCTAGTACAGAGGTTGTAACATAACACACCTACATCATCTCCAGTTTTCTCCAAACATAGAGGGTCATAAAAGTACCGCTCATATTTTTTAAAATAAAGGTATATAAAAAAATTTTTCAAGGCCTAGAAGGGAAATCAGCAATGAATTTTTTCCTTTTTATAGGGAAATGGTAATAGATAAGGGTTGAATTCCAAAAGCCCAACGAATTTTCTGGCGTTCTTCATTTCATAGAATTTATAAAGGTCAAAGGATTATATTGGAAAACACCCGATATCTGATGGGTAGAAGATCCAAAATATACATCAAAATTCTCTAGGCATCAACAGAGCAAAGGGCTTCTTTTTCATATTTTGAAAAATTTAATTCGGGTTTCTTTAAACTTAAAGAAAAAAAAACAGTTGAAATAGGTCAAATTTGTAGCCTTCTGTAACAATGCGGCCCCAAGCATACGCACTGGCATCTATTTGTAATGGAAGGGTTTATTTTTAAAATCAGGACTTAGCAATACTGGGAAGAGGATAGTAACTTTTAAAAACGAAAAAAGCAATTTCACAGTCCTGACCCGTAAAAAAACTTTTTTTGGACTTTTTAATTCATTTTGGGGGGAAAAGTTTACCGTGCAAAATTCGGACAGAACCGACGGTAGAAACCGGGCAACCCCTAAAAATCTTGAAAAGTTTTTTCCTATCCTTAGGGGTAGAAATTCAAGAGGGCCTTTTTTTTTGGCTTAAAAGGGACGCTTCCCCTTTGTCCAACCGAAATCCTAAAATTTAATTTTCGTCTGGCCAACTCACACTTGGAAAAATTTTCCTGAAAAATTATTTTTTATTTAAAGGGCGTCAAAAGGTTTTAAAAGCTGTCAAGGTGTTGGGGCCAAATGCCCCGCTGTATACACTAAGTCGTCAAGTAACCCACTACTCCGCCCAAACCGCCCAAGTAGTTCTAAACCGGGAACAAAGGGGGCCGCTTACAGAAGCCGAAGGGCATAACGCAAAACTTGTATAGGCCCCGGGTACATAAAAGCCGATATCTCTTGTGCTTTTGGTGACAACGGAGGGAAAACCCTCTTAACAAGCCAAACGATATGCTTAGCTCGGAGACCTTGTCTTTTAAAGTGTCAAATCTGGGTTTGGGAAACCCCATCAGGTACTGTTAAAAAGCATTGACTTTCAAAAATCCGTGCACATAGGGAGGTCCCATCGGGTTTGGGACTAGAATGCACGGGATGCCAAAAGACTGTTATTGGTTTTACAACCCGGTGAGAGAAAAGTTCACCTCTCCTCAGCTCCCCTTTGTTTTTTGGACTCACTCTGAGGGAGATTGCTTTTTGGGGAGTAGGTTCCTGAGAGAAACTGGGCACACCCAACTACACTTTTGGGGGACTCATTAATAGGGGAGATTTCCCTTAACAGGGATTTTATTTGGGTGTCCTTTGTCCACTTCCAGATTTATCAGTAGAAAAAATTAAAATTCTTTAAGGCGTCGAATTGTTCAAAGAACTGGTATTCCATCTTTTTCACCGAATTTACTGGAACCCTTTTTGGGTTCAAGGAGTTATAGTAGAAACGGGTAAAACTTCCTAAATGGGGTTTAATTTGGGTTAAAAGTGATACCCTTGTGATTCCTCTTTTTTGGGGCGTCCTTACCAAGTAGTTCACGCACTTAGGCCCTTCACATTCAAAAGGGACCTTCAAATTTGGGCTTAACATGTCCCTGATGAAACGTTGAACCAGAACTTGATCTTTTGGTTCAAATAACGAAGTTTATTCGACGATCGTATTCCTTTTTCATCTTACTCTGTGTTGTCGAAATTTTTTCGGGGGCCAATTCTCTAGCTAGGCCAGGCTTCTTTCATTAAGGTATGAGAGCTCCTAAAAGCGGCGTTTTTTTTTCCCCGGTCCAAGCTTCTTTGAAAACCGACGGTCCCAAATTTTTAGCCCATAAATTAACTCAAAGGCAAAACTTCAGTTGTCTTGTTCGTTTTCTTTTAGGGCAAACAAGAGTAGTGGAATCCCTTTCACCCCAATCTTTGAATACTTAAACAATGGGACCTCTCAAACTTAAAAGTTTGATGAACCTTTCCCCCACCCTTGTGAGGGGGGTCGATAGGCCTCGCTAACCGTTTTTGACCCCTACTGGGGCCAAAGGGTTTTCACGGAAAAATTTTAAAGTAAAATTCGACCCTTGATCCGATTGAATTTCTTTGGGAAATCCAAAGTGAGAAAGAACTAATCATGTTTCCACATTAGGCAGCATTAATCCTCCTGAAGGAACTGCTTCCGGGGTACCTGGGACTGTGTCCATGATATGAACGGGAACGGGATGCCCTGCCGAGTCTTGGTAGCGGCCACACAGTCGATCACCAGACAAAAGGGGTCGCCTGTTACTTGAAGGGGTTCAAGGGCCGGGGTGGTGGTTATTCGGGTTTTGCCTACTATTGACCAGGGGAACAGCTTCTTACATACCGTTCCACTTTTTCCCTTCAATTTTTTGGCCATGTGAAGGTTTTAGCAATTTTTCTAAAAGTTTTCCCTTTGTCCCAATGCCCCACCTTGGGGACTGTCATGAGCAAACTTACTGCAAAATTTTCTAAACGGGTAGGCAAGACCACAGATGATCACTTTTAAGAGATCCTAGTTTTTTTTCTAACCCTTTCCCCCAAATAGAAAGTTTCATTTTAAGGGCTTCTCCCAACAAGCAAGTTTTCCTGGGGCACTTAAGGAGGGCCCTATTCGGAGTTCTCTTATAATCCTCCTTGGAAATAAATCTTTTTGGGAACCACCACTTGGGAAGGGTATCTTTTTCTGGGGGTTTGTTGGCTCTAACTCA